TTGCTCACTGTACGGACATATCCAAATATGTCAACTCATAATGTTAGTTTTTGGGTCAAAAGGTAAACACGGAAAAGAAAGACTTCATGTCAATCTAAAAGTTTGAAGCTAATATTTCGTTTAATGAAAGTAAGGTGACATTTTCGAATTGCATGTACAATACACCGTGAATTTTGCATTTTTCTTCAGATATATTTTCCCCAGCCCCGCAAGTCAGTAGAGCAACTGTGTCACAAGGGGTTATTAAGTGTGAAAGAACGAGAAAAAAAAAAGATTATTAAGGAGCGAGAACAATAGAAGAGTAATCAGGAAAACAGAAGATAATGATTGAAGTTGCATTGAAATTTTGAAGATTAAAGTTGGCTAGAAAGCAGGAAGCCTGAAGCATTTCATTCAAATAAAATAAATCGATACCTGGAGTTGTCTGGAATTTAACTAATGAATTAAAATTTTAACCAGTGGAATCACATGAAACCAGCAACACCTAACTCTTATTACGACTAACAGCTGGTAAAATGGCAACTGGGATAAAACATTTAGCTCTTGCCAGGTCCTATCTGGGCCAAAATATAGAATGTATTGTTTTAATACTGTTCAACTTTTCTGTATACATTATCACTGGGATCAAGAATTCAATTCATTCTGTTTGATAAGCTTATATGCAAATCATAAGGTAGGCTGTTTAATTTCACCCCAAGGAAGGTAATAAAGTCACCAAGACACAAGGGGTTATCGAGTATGTAGGAATACGAGAAAAAGAAAAAAAAAACATTATTAAGGAGAGAGAACAGAAAAAGATGGGAAATCAAGAAGACAGAAGATATCGATTAACATTGCATTTAATATTTTGAAGATCAAAGTTGTCTGGAAAGCAAAGAGCCAGAAAAGATTTCCACAGGAGATGAGTGTGAGAAAAAACTGTTAGCATAGAACTTACGGTTGCTTCTAGCCAATTCTGTAAAGTGATACTATCTTGTTGCTAATTTAGTCAGTAGATTATGTTCCATACGTGATACACGCTCAGCTGATCATGTATCTTTCAATACATGACTGACGAGGCAGATATTTTTGCTACTTCTTTCTGCGGTAGACCAGCTGCCATCTAAGGTCATAGAAGCCGGTCTGTCCTGCTATTTATGCATAGCTGCAGAGAGAAGAGGATTCATACCTTTCCCAAGGGTATTAGCACGTAAGTGAATGTAATGAACTCGACTGGAATTCGAACTCGGCTCTCCATTTCCTCAATCCGAGCCGCTACTGAGCTTAAAGTAGAGGTATCATAGCAAAGAGTTCATCCAAACAATTACCATTGAAGTATTTATAGAAAAGTCACAGGGTGAGGAAGTGACGGAAACCGAGGTGCCAGGTCGGGACCAATAATATTGCAGATTTTTTTTGCGGTCTTTTAGAAAGAATCTTTAAATATGCAGCAGGAAGATGGAGCCGTATTTGGTAGGAATATTCAAATCATGGACGCATGGTAGACTTATAATTGTGTAAGATAGATTCAGGAGACAAAAAATTGTTTGTCATATTTATTTGAACACTCCGGGTAGACTGACAAACGTATTCAAATTTGCTGACCTTCCTTCACTCACTCGTGATAAAAGTTAATAAAATTTCTACTAATTGAACTTCTCTTAACGCGTAGCGACTCTGGTCTTGCAGCAGATAGCCCAATCAAAAACCGTAGAAAAGAGAACAGTATTGATATGGTTGCCATTACACCACAACCTCTGCCCCAGCTTTACACGCGGGGACTGAGTTCAGACATTTTTTCTTCTTTCTAATTGATATTCGGCCATATTGTTAAGTAAGGATGGCCGGTTTTATGAAATAAGTTTACACGTGTTCCAACTATAGCATGGAAGTCCGCGTCTTATCGAATAACGTGTTAAGAATGAAGGCTTTTAATACGTGAGACATTCCAAAAGCAACGTCAACCTATGCATATTACAGCGTGCACAGGGTGCACATCAACACCGTTAGATAGATAAAATTTTCAGCGAAAATTCTATACGATTTTCCAATAGAAATATGACCACTATGCCTTACTGCCACCGATAAACATTTCGTAGTTTGACTGGATCGATCGAGACGTGGTTTTTCACACACATCAATGTCGTTATTACTGTATTGCATTACCAAAAACTTCAATTATAAGCGCTGAACCGTTGACCCTAAAATATTTAACCCATAGCAGTATAGATTTTCTATCCACAACAGCTTCATTCATACGTAAGCGGAAATGAGCACTAAAAACTCTCTGTATTGCAATTACAGATTCACATGTCTAAAAAAAAAGAAATTTTCAAAGCAAACGCCTAGTGTGAACCGGTCCAAGCCATGAGAGTAACCGAAAGAAAATGGTAATACTTTACCAAGACGAAAACCCCATTGCCCCTTGCTTAATTTCACTAGCACTAGGTAACTGTTTAAAATGAGGTACTTATGCCACGCCCTGTAAAACCAGATCCCTATTGCTCCCTCTTCATACATGAGAAAGTTGTTCAGGATTCAATATCATATAGAAGGATTGATGTTGCGAAGTCCACTTTCTTTGGTTCTCACCAAAAAATACCTGTCCCTTGGTACTGTGCTAAGATTTTAGAAATCATCTCTCTATATATCTGTCTATATCTCTGAGATGAGGGATTATGATTACTTGCATTATTTACATTATTCGGAGTGTTATCCTCATCTTCATTGCCATATTCACAACGTTTCGGCCGTTGTACGCTCCGGCCTTTATGTCTATGTCTCTCTATATATCTGTCTATATCTCTGAGATGAGGGATTATGATTACTTGCATTATTTACATTATTCGGAGTGTTATCCTCATCTTCATTGCCATATTCACAACGTTTCGGCCGTTGTACGCTCCGGCCTTTATGTCTATGTCTCTATATATATCTGTCTATATCTCTGAGATGAGGGATTATGATTACTTGCATTATTTACATTATTCGGAGTGTTATCCTCATCTTCATTGTCATATTCACAACGTTTCGGCCGTTGTACGCTCCGGCCTTTATGTCTATGTCTCTCTATATATCTGTCTATATCTCTGAGATGAGGGATTATGATTACTTGCATTATTTACATTATTCGGACTGTTATCCTCATCTTCATTGCCATATTCACAGCGTTTCGGCCGTTGTACGCTCCGGCCTTTATATCTATGTCTCTCTATATATCTGTCTATATCTCTGAGATGAGGGATTATGGTTACTTGCATTATTCGAACTATCAAAAAATATGGCATTAAAAAAAAAAAAAAAAACGTTATAGTGATAGCTTTTTTTTTAAAAAATGGCGAAGTCGTTGATTTGGGACGCGACGTGTGCAGATACATTTTCGGCCGGTAATTTGATACGCGGTTAAGATGGGGTCCGTCGCCCGGGACGCAGAGATAAAAAATAGTTAAATATTCTTCTCTTACTGATAGATTTTTTTTTACACCTGTGGTAGTGGAGACTTCAGGGGTTATTGGCCCTTGTTCGATGGCGTTCCTTCGGAGGATTGGCGCGATTGCGTCTCAATTAAGTGATGAGCCTCGTGAAACGGAGTGGCTCTTGCAGTCTGTCTCACTGGCCATGGTTCGAGATAATGCTTTCTCTATCATTGCGGCTGGCAGAGGTTAGAAAAAAAATGTTCGCAAGCCTCTTTAGATATCACGTCGCCATTATAGTGTAGTGTTACCGTCTCAAGTGAAGTAGTAAGCACACAACTGTCTTGGGTGTGCAACTGCTGATAATTTTATAATGGCCTCAAAACCAGCAGTTTCCAAGAAGAGATCAGTTATCGGGTTTTCTCTACTGATTTTAAATCCTTCAGCTTTTTATTCTAGCTTTAGCTGCTAGTATCCTAAGCCATGCTTATGCGTATTCATAATTATCAAGAGATAATTGTTCATTCGGCTCGTTAAATCCATCACTACTTCCTTCGAGTAAGTAACACTACACAACAATGGATTTGTTTAGGAGTTTCTGGAGATTAATTTTTCTGTCTATCATCAACACGATGTCGCCTTCATAACATATATTGGCAAACCGTACCCGTCAAAAATAAATCCTGGTAAAACATTGCTTAAATAATTCCAACATTTTTTTTACGTGTCATATTCAAAGATGCTGTACTCTTCCCAAATCCCAAAAGAAAAAACTACACGAACTCGTATTCATTTATATATTTAAAATGAGACACGTCCTAGATGACCTTCTTCAACAACAAATCTCTTCTACCCACACTCATTATCAGGTTATCAGCAACTGGCTTCGTAATTTGGCACCCAGCCAGCATCGCTGCTTGCCTGACGTGTCGAAGAAGCATCCCCGAAAATTGACAATCCAATACAGCTGTTCTTAATGACCGCGCATGTATTTACCCGTCTCCCCTAAAGAAAGGCTGTTAAGGTAAACAGGCGTTGTTCGGAAGATTTCCTTTCTTTTTGACTTATTTTATTTAGTACCTTGAATTGGGACTGTAATTTTAGCTTTTCCTTTTAGCAATTTCAGCTTTAGTCATAAATAAAAATGAGAAAGTAAAAAAGGAATGTGTATATGTGTTGGTTTAAACAAAGAGTTAAAAAGTTACCCTGTACAGAAAACCTTTTGTTATTATCCTTGGTTTGAGAAATGCATTTGTTTTGGATTGAAGCAAATGATAGTTATCAAGAATTTCCAATGGTTTCGAAAATGTCATTTTACTGAAAGCCAAAAGAATACATTACGTCATCAACTCGACCATCATTAAGTAAAATGGAGGCAATTTGGTGGTTTGTTACAATGTAAGTGGCATGGCGGGTCCTAGCGTTGAAGGTTAGATATTGCGGAAGCAAGTAATGCAGTTCGCCTGAGCACTTTCTATGGAAGTAGCTATTATGGGGTCCACCCTTTTTCGGATATAATGGACTCGTCCTGCTGCCATAAAATAGCCACAGTCAGGCAGAGAAGATGAGTCGTACCGGAGTTGTAGGGAAGTCGTACCGAAGTCGTACATGAGTCGTACCGGAGTCGTCTGTGAGTGTCGGATGGAGTGAAGTAATCTCTTGTTAGAAGTCAGTTACAAGCACGTAGACTCTAAGGAAGTCCTACTTCGAGACTGTATATATCTATCTGTATTTGCTACTAACCGGCATTCCTGGATTTTACTAACAGCATTACCTTTTGTATTTTGTGTAAATACATTTAATTTCTTAAGCTTAAATACTTGCGTTTGTCATTTATTGGATACCTATTTTTCACGCGGGATCCACAACAGTAGCGATGCATCAAGGAGAGGCTCGCCACATCCCACTTGTGAGAGAGAGAGAGAGAGAGAGAGAGAGAGAGAGAGAGGGGGATATAGAAAATAGTTTGGCACCTACAAGGACGCTTTGGAACTATCGTGACTGGAAAGTGAGTTCAGGGTAGTTCCCGCCCAAATATAGTATTTCGATTATGCGTTTCCATATATTTTTCTCCCCATCCGACATTTTTTAAAAAAAATTTCTTTATTCTTTCACCAGCTATCCCATAATTTCTGTTTTTGTTGAAGAACGAAATACACTTTTCTTCCTGAACTTTCTTCAAGTGCAACACTGGCAAATATTGTTTGTATAAAATTAATCAACACGCTTCGGAAAGTGTCGGGGTCGTTGAAGGAAGCCATGCATAACTAAACGTGATTAGTGACATGACACTGATCCTTAGTTGGAGAATTGCATTTATTCTGGATCGAGGGAAGTGATAGTTGTCAAGAATTTCCAACTGAGTTATTGTTTAAGTGCAATGGTTTCGAAAATGTCATTTTACTGAAAGCCAAAAGAATACATTACGTCATCAACTCGACCGTCATTAATTAAGTAAAACAGAAAAAAAAAGACAAGAAAAATAACGGTACCTTATATTAACAGCAAGTAACTTGATTAGAATTCGTTTTGAAACGTTTGTCACTGAAAAAAATGTTTTTTAAGTTATCGATTTGAAATCAGGTAACAAAATAATTACGTGGGAGGTATTTAAATTCTGCATTTCGTATTTTTTTTTATTTATTTTTTTTATATCAAAACTTTTTTTTACATTGAGCTTCACCATGTACAAGGCTCGGAGGCAACTTGAGGTAGAGGGTTACCGTAAGAGGCAGTTTATGCGGATAGAAGGGAAAGATAACCGTTAACACTAGACTTGAACAGGATAAGGTTGTAGTAATCGGAAAAATATCCCCTTGGGAATTTGTTCCACACA